GACAAAAATGCAAAATCACAAATCTTTACTTCAAGAATTTGATTTTACTGATCTCATCCAAGTAGAAGCAAATGGTCATTCCGGTGGGATAGTTCTACTTTGGCATGCAAATGATTTGACTGTGGACCCTGTGGCTGTCACAAGCTAGGAGGTTCATGCTACTCTTCAGATTAGTTCTAAATCTCCAAAATGATTATTATCGGTTGTTTACGATAGCAATTCATACAACAACAGAAAAGTTCTATGAAATAATCTAGAAGAGTTTAATAAGTGTCATACATCTGCATGTCTATTATGTGGGGATTTTAATGAACTATGTTGTACAACGAATAAATTCGGGGGAACCTATTAAATAAAATAGGTCTGCCTCTTTTAACAAATGCCTTAATACAATTAACATGATGGACCTTGGTTTTACTGGGTCCCGCTTCACTTGGACAAATAAACCAAGAATTCGTAATTATGCTCACACTAGTACTAATATTCCTAATACTCTAATCCTAGAAAGACTAGATAATTTTTTTTCTAATGATGCTTGGCTAAAACTATTTGAAGATGTTACCGTACTACACCTCCCCCGCACCACTCAGATCACTGCCCACTACTACTTAATTTACAAAAACCTTCCCAAGCCCATCTCAAATTTTAAATTTGAAACGATATGGTTAAATCACCTTGATTTTCGTCATATTGTATCTTCTCATTGCTTGATGAACAATCGTACTTTGATACCCTTAATAACTTTATTGCTCATCTAACTGAATGGAACACTACTACTTTTGGTAATATATTCCACAAAAAAAGAATTCTTATCGCCCGTTTATCTAGAATTCAACGGATGAATCCACAACAAAAAAAATGCAATTCACTACAATTTAGAAAATAGACCGCTAACAAACTTAAATCTACTAAGTACTACAATACAAGGAAGATTTTTGGAAATTAAAATCCCGTGTTCAATGGCTAAATGAAGGAGATGCAAACGCTAAATTTTGTCACCTAACTACTATCCAACGACGACAGCGCAATCGCATTTTAGGTCTTGTTGACCCTGTTGGTAATTGGACTTTCGACTCGACCACCATTTATGCCACAATTACTAACCACTTCAAAAACCTACTCAACTCACATCCAGTTCAAATTTACCTATACTACATTATTTTAATGTTGTATCCAATGATACTCATCAAACACTAGCACAACCACTGACACAGAGTGAAATTTACCATGCCATAAAATCGTCTAAGCCACTAAAAACACCCGGACCGGATGGCGTACATCCTATTTTCGTCCATCCCATTTTCTTCCAAAAATTCTGGGAGGATACAATGCTAGTTGTAATTACAACTTGTACAACTGCTTTTACCTCAACTATCATCCCCAATTATCTAAATAAAACCTTTCTTACACTTATACCAAAAGTGCAAAACCCTAAAAACATTTCCCAATATCGTCCTATCGGACTATGTAATACAATATAAAACTATTACATAAATCATTACTAATCGTATTAGGACGTTTTTAACCTAAACTTATTAGCCCAACTCAAAGTAGTTTCATACCAGGAAGAAGAGCAGTCGATAACGCTATCATAGTTCAAGAAGTTGTGCACTCTTATAGACGACAGAAAGGTAAAATAGGCAACATGTTATTAAAAATTTGACATTGAGAAAGCTTTCGACCTAGTGGAATATCAAATACTCCCTCCAACAATTAAATTTTCCATCACATCTCACCAAACTAATTATGTCTTGTGTCTCTACTTCTTCTATCTCAATACTCATAAATGGTAAACCTACACAATTTTTAACCAACATGTGACATTAGACAGGGAGATCCATTAAGTACCTACATATTTATCATCTGTATGGAATCCTTCTCACACCCAATTGGTCAAGTTGTTGACATACTACAATGGACACCTGTCAAAATCTCTAGATCATCACCCCCCACCCTTTCTCACTTACTCTTTGCTAATGATCTAGTTTTATTCGCTAAAGCTGATGAAAAGAATGCACATACCGTCATCAACATCTTCAATCAGCTTAATATCAACTATGGACAACGAATTAATTTCACCAAATCTTAGATTCTCTTCTCCGATAATGTACCATCTTCTACTCAGACTACCATCTCATCGCTCCTTAATATGAACTCCACCACTACCTTTGAAAAATACCTTGAATATCTATCACCAACACAAAACCTACTTCTACTGACTATCAGTATTTCCTCGACCAATTAACTCGTGGGCTCGCATGCTGGAAAAATAAGTTTTTAACATTTGCTGGTAGAACAATCTTCATCCATTCCATTCTCAATTATATCCCTACATATGCTATGCAGCTTAATCTTCTACCACCCAAGACGATCCATCATATTAATCGTATTCAATAAAATTTTCTATGGGGCTCCTCCCCAGACAAACACAAACTACACCTTATTAACTGGATAAGATTACTACGCCTAAAATATATGGTGGATTAGGGATACCTAAATTATATCCAAAAAGCCATAGCCTTACTTGATGGTCTTCTTTGGCGTTACTACAAAAATCATGATGCACTTTGGGGCTTGGGATTCTACACTATGCCTTAAATATCACTCCCCAGTATATTTCCTACCTTCTAGATTAACTCCCATCGTTAGAAACTCTACTTCATATATTTGGAAAAGCATGATCAAAGCATACCTCTAGTACCAACAGGGCATGGGCTGGAATATAGCAAATGATAACCATATCCAGCTCTGGAAATATTACTGGTTACCTACAAACACCATCTTACGACAGCTCATCCATGGACCACTCCTCTCACGTGAGGCAAACCACTCTCTAAACACTATCATTACCAATGGAACTTGGAATCTCTCCCCACTTTCGTTTGTCCTATCACCCTATCTATCCAACCTCATCACTGATTCCATGTTAAACCATTCTCCAAATTCTACAGACCAATCATTTTGGAATCACTCCACCACAGGGAATTTCTCCACCTCCACAGTCTACCAATTAGTAACACTTCCCTTAACCCATCACCAATCTTACTGTCCGTATTCTTGGGTTTGGAAGGTCCTTTCCACCAACAAAATTAAACACTTTTGATGGATCATGCTACATCCTAAACTACCCACTCTATCCTTTCTCTACCACCTAAAAATATCACTGGACACTACATGTAAAATGTGCAGTCAAGCACATGAAGATATTGACCATATTTTCTTTTGTAGCAACATCGCTACAACTATATGGCAACATTTCAATATCCCGCTCCCTATACGCTCCTTTCAGTTTATGCATTCCCAGGCAACCTGCCCATTATTTCCATGACCAATGTGCCACTAACTATTTTGACCCCAATCATCCTATGGAACATTTGGACTAACCGTAATAATAATGTCTTTAATCATACAAACACTCTGATTAGCATCTACAACATCATCAATCAGGCTACCCAATTCTACTACTTAACTAACAATATTACATAAAAACACAAGCTCACATATCTTATTCCAATAAAATGGCAACCATCACTTAACGGCTATCTTAAGTTGAACATTGATGGCGCTTTCAATGAATGTTCCCATCATGGAAGAGCAGTTGCTGGAGTTTTTTGGGATGCTTCGGGAGCCTGAATATATGGCTATACAAAGCACATACTCCACACTAATATTATGCAAGCTGAACTATAAGCCTTATACCATGGTCTTCACATAGCGACTGCTCGAAACCTCAAACTATTACTAGTGGAAACAGATTCCCAGATATTGATACACCTCATTTCACATTGGTCATTAAAATACTCACATTTAATTACTGCATGCAGGTTGATGCTCCATGACCGTCAGGTGACTACACTTCAACACACATTCAGGGAGGGTAATGGTATGGCGGATGTTTTGGCCAAGTTTGGGAAGACAATCACGGATCCACAGACTACTGATGTTCTACCTTTTGCAAATTCCCCCACTTTTACTTTATCGCATTTAGTTCCTAATGTAACTGTAACTGTAACATACCGCTTAGTTCCAACTTCTGTAATTAACTAGTAATGTTTTTTAATCAGAGCCCTATAACAAAAAAAAAGGAAAATACTTATTTTTGTTGAAACGAAAAAAATACTTTTTTTACATGATGAAAAAAGAGTATTGGTTTTGTTGAAATAAAAAAAAAATCTTTTTCTACATCATGAAAAGAAAATACTCGTTTTTTTTGAAATGAAAGAAAATATTTTTTCTACATCATAAAAAGAAAATACTCGTTTTGTTAAAATGAAAAAAATACCTTCCCTGCATCATGAAAAAAGAAGTATTGATTTTGTTCAAATGAAAGAATATACTTTTTCTACATCATGAAAAGAATATACTCATTTTGTTGAAATAAACAAAACACAAAAAAAAAAAAACTTTATTTACCACATGACAAGAAAGTACTCTTAATAATATTTCTATATAGGGTGGGTGGTGGGCGAGGTTGGGGTGCGTGGGTGTGGTGGGGGTAGAGGTTGGGGTGGGTGGGTAGGGGTGGGATGGATGGGGTGGGGGTTGGTGGGGATGGAAATAAAAAAGATTTGGAAAATATTCTATCTTATTTTGATAGGGAAAACAGTTTTCTCCAATTGGAGGAAAATGAGTTTACCAGGAAAAGGTTTTCCAAAACATTTAATCCAACCAAACATAAGAAAACCGAAAAATATTTTCCGCAAAATATTTTCTTTCGTACCAAACACACCCTTAATCTAGTTAAGACACCTAGAATACATAGTTCATGAACGTTATAGACAAAAAATAATTATAAAAAATGGCACTCGTCCACAATTTTTGCGAAAATGTGAAGAAAAACGTACTGGTATATAAGTTAAACCGAAAGATAATACAAATATTCAAAGAAAACTGGAAGGCTGAATCGAAGTATGAAGCTCTAGAGATCCTAATATACAGCGGGATCGAACAAATTCTCCAACTATTCATCATATCCTTATAATATCCTCATCTTGGTAGACAATAGAAGAAAATAAATTGAGAACCCTTTATGCTTTTATGCCTCTAATTTCCTGTTTTATGTAAACCAATTGAGGCGAAAATGGATGATAACTGAGAAGAAGAAATCACCATATATAATGGAAGAAGATGCCCATGCAGCCAATATCTTTAGGTCCCAATCTTATACTAACATAGGGCTTTCTTCATCAGCTAATTCGGTTGTTGCACTAGCACAAAAGGTTAGGTTCTTTCGCAAGGCGAATTGAAAATTTAAATTTGACGGATTCAACTTCTAAGGTTTCCATAACTGAACCCATTCCACACTTGAATCATGAGTTTAAATTTTACTATTTGTTGAAATTTCAGTAATTTTTCACATATTTATGTTATGCTCTTCAAACCGGCCTATTGCTCTCCTCTATGAAAAGGTTCTTTTGTAATCACTCTCAATAAGACATCCATTCCCCTTTCAAATGAAAAGAGAACTAGACTTTTCTCTTCATGATTGAAATTCGCCATTCAATCGCAGTGCGGCGCTCTTAAAAAGCTCAATCCTCTAAGGCTGAAATGAATAGATCAGGAATAAATTCCTTGGATCCGCCTGTCCCGATCCCTACCTACTAAACAGTTGAACCCCCGTATATATATGTTGGAAGAACCTCATGATCCTTCCGTGTGGAAGGGAAGTAAGAAAGAAGGCGAACACGAATACTAAAAATTGGTTCATGGGGACCCTAAAAATGGGGATAGAGTGCGCAGAACGGGTTTTTCAAGCATGAAACAATCCCTACCTATACATCATGGCAACAGACAGAAGGCAGTTTTGTCGTTATTCTTAACCCCAGGCACATTTCCATTCCCAATAATCTCCACGAAAAGACTACCATTCAAAAACACTGAATTCAATTTTTAAATATTATATCCACGCCCCATATATCCCTCACTGAATACTATTTGTATCCTACTCCCTTAAATGATTTAAACCCGGTTATTTTTAATTTGTTTCCAGTTGATTGCAGAGGCAATTGGCGCATACTTCATTATATTTGCATGGTTTGGATCAGTTGTAATGAATAGGCTATTTGATGATGAGAGCGTAACGTCTCCAGGGATAAGCATGACATGGGGAGCAGTTGCGATGGTGATGATTTACTCATTGGGACAAGTATCAGGAGGTCATTTTAATCCTGCTGTTACTATCACTTTCACTATCTTTCGTCGCTTCCCATGGAAATTAGTACGTACTAATTTTAGTATTTTTCTTTTTAAGGTAAACTGTTTTGAATTCTGATTTACCTTTAGATGACATAGAATCATATGGTAATTTATTGGTTTGATTTAGAGTTTGCAGCAGGTACAGTTTCTGATTTTTTTTTTTTTTTTTTTTTTTGTCAACATTGTTTGTTAGATTTTTAGTCTTGGTTTAGAATAGTAGCAAAATGTATTTAACATCATATGCATGTGTTGCAGGCACCTCTGTACATAATAGCTCAACTAATCGGCTCACTTCTGGCGTTCGGTACTTTAGCGCTACTGTTGGATGTGAATCTCAAAGATTATTTTGAACATTTTCCTATATTGGGTTGAAATATAACCCAAGTTTCAATATTTGGGTTGGAAAAAAGTAAGTCTTTAATTAATTGGTTATCCATTTACGGTTCTAAGATCTAACTTTATAGTATAGGACCATGGTTAGTTTTAACCGATGGGTTATTTGCATTGAAGAAAGGACAGAACTCTGAAAAAAATAAAGTTGATTTTTTGGAAATATATAGAATTCTCTAGAATGTCTTAGTGTAGTATCCTTGATATTTATTTAGTAGATATATCTAGATGTTCTAGAATGTTGTGGGAAGATAAGACATATCTAGATATTCTAGAGTGTTGTTAGAAGATAAGGTGTCACGACCCGGATTTCCCACCATCAGAGTCGTGATGGCCAGAGAGGCGGGTAGTGATATTATGTTTCAGGAGGCGGCCAATGTGGCCCGGAGGATCGAGATGGTTCTGCCACAGGGGGGTGGTCATAGGTCAGATAAGAGACCCCGTCACTCAGGTCGATTCAGTGGTGCCTCATCTGGAGGCAGGGATTCTTATGATAGGGGTCAGTCTTCCAGGCCCTTTCAGTCAGCCCTCCAGGCTTCACAGGGATTTCCTTCTTCGCGATCGTGCCCTTCCCCACGCGATCGCATAGCACTGAGTCGTCTTCCTTCGCGATCGCGTCTTGAACCACGCGATCGCGTAAGCCAAATCCTTGGACCCCCAGTAGTTCTTCTACGCGATCGCGTAACCCTCCACGCGATCGCGATGACCAGTCAGCGGTACCCTTCGCGATCGCATCCCTATTTCCGCGATCGCGTAGGGCAAATTCGCCCAGTTATTTTAAAGCCTAAAAACAGAACCAGTGACGGGATTTCTTCATTCTTTTCACACGGGCTCTCCTCTTAAACCCTCCATAGACGAAATTCAAGCTCTCATTCCTCCATAACTCTTTGGGTAAGTAATCTTAACATCTTTCCCTCATTATTTCTTCATCTAATTACTAAATTCCTAGCCCTAAAACATGAAATCAAGGTAGAAATTATGGGTTTTGGGTAGAGTTAGGGTTTTGAGAATTTTGGGTGATTCAACCTCAATTTGGGGTCGAATCTTAAAACAAATTATATATTTGCACTCGTGGGGTTATGGGTGATCGGGTTTTGGTCCGAGCCTAGAGTTTGGACCATGTGGGCCCGGTGTCTAATTTTGGTATTTTTGGAATAATGCTAGAAAATTCATATCTAGGCTATGAGAAGTTGCCATTGAGTCTTTATTGATATTGTTGAATTAATTATGCCTAGATATCACTGTATTGGAGGTGGAATCACGAGGTAAAGCGATAGTTGAGGATTAAGTGGATTTCAAGGCTTTGAGGTAAGTGTTTGGTTTAACCCTAGCTTGAGGGAATAGGAGTTGAGTCTTGTTGCTAATTGCTATGTGATCGAGTACGATGTATAGGCATGGTGACGAGTATCTATACATTGGTGTCTAGCATGACCGTGAGTCCTTATAATGTGATTATCATGATTTGGTTGTGAACTCCGTGTTTATTGGAGGATTTCTATATGTTGTGAATAACATGTGAACGGTAATAGGATCATTTGATTCCTGGAGCATTGGTTCGAATTGTGATACGAATATTGAAAGTATACGAAATGACTTGATTCTTTGGAGCGTTGGCTCAAAATAGTAAAGTGAATTATAAGATAAGGAAAGTAAGAAAGAGAAAGCGTTGTTGATTATTCCCTTGTCGGGACGTTTGGTTGAACTTGTTGGATTCTTTCCCTTGCCGGGATGGTTGTCAAATATTTGCTTATTTTATGCCCCTTAATTGTGACTGTTGTTTGGGAAGTCAGACTGTTAAATGATATTGAGGATCGGGTTGCGCGCCGCAACAATGATGTTGAGGATCGGGTTGCGCGCCGCAACAATAATATATGAGGATCGGGTTGCGCGCCGCAACAATGATATATGATAAGTGATATGGGTCGGGTTGCACGCCGCAACAATGATATTGTGGAGCGGGTTGCACGCCGCAACAATGGTAATTATGGAGCGGGTTGCACGCCGCAACAATTATTGAGGCTATGTGTTTACATTTGAGTATTGATTCCTTGTTCACTGTGAACCTAAGTTGCTTTAGTTGTTACTCTGGATTATTGTTATTATTGTAACTCCCCATAGCATGTTTCCCCTCCCATGTTGGTAATTGCTTTGTATTCGATTTCCGCTGTATATCTATAACTGCACAGGTTTATGTGGTGTCCAGTCTAGCCTCGTCACTACTTCGCCGGGGTTAGGCTAGACACTTACCAGCACATGGGGTCGGTTGTGCTGATGCTACACTTCTGTGCATTTTTGCACAGGTCCAGGTTTTGAGGAACAGCAGCAGCAGTAGTTCGGAAGCAGGCGATTCATATTCACGAGACTGAGGTAGCCTTGCAGGCGTCCGCAGGCCCGGCGTCTCTTCTCATTGTTTTCTTTTAGACTGTTGCCTCCTTGTTTCGAGACAGACAGCTGTTATATTTCTTTCAGACCTTTGTATTTAGTTTATTCTTAGTGGTTCGTGAGTAATGTGACACCAAATCTTGGGTAGAGGTTGTTTTTGACTATTCCGCGTTTTAAATTCATCATTTTAAGACAGACTTCCGCTATTGTTCTTATTAGACTTTATGTTCTATATTGATGTTATAAACTGTTAAAGATAATTGCTAGTGATGGAAAGGTAATTAAGTTGGCTTGCCTAGCTACCACGAGTAGGCGCCATCACGACTCTGATGGTGGGAAATCCGGGTCGTGACAAGTTGGTATCAGAGCACTAGGTTACATAGGTCTCACAACTCACGGACAAACTTAGTAGAGTCTGAGGGGTAGGTACGGAGACGTCTGTACTTGTTCCCCAGAGTCTATTGAGTTAGGAAAACCTCTCATTTGTTCTTTCTTGTCGTGCGATTTGGTTTCTTAAATGCTGATTGAATTTCCACTCTGTTCTTTCGCAGATGGCGAGAACACGCGCTTCCTCATCCTCCGATCAGCAGTCCGAGCCCCAGGCAGCTCCCGCTAGGGGCAAAGGACGTGGCCGTGCTAGGGGCCGTGGTAGGGGCATGGCCCAGCCACCAGCAGCAACACCAGTGGCAGACCCTCAGGTTAGCCTTGACGAGGAGGTTCCGGCCCCAGCTCAGACAGTTCCGGTGGGCCCAGCTCAGGTCCCAGAGGGGTTTATTGCTACCCCAGTTCTTCAAGACGCCATGGTCCGATTGGTTGGCCACATGGAGAATGTCACCCGAGCAGGATTGCTTCCTGTAGCACCAGCCACTTCCCAGGCTGGAGGAGGAGCCCAGACTCCTGCTGCACGTACTCCGGAGCAGGTAGCTCCCCAGACTCAGATTCCACCGGCTCAGATAGCTGCGGCAGTTCCGCCGGGGGTAGTTTCACAGGCTGGTGATGGAGCGGCTATGTCCGCAGATGCTTTGTGGAGGCTGGACAGATTCACCAAGCTCTTCACTGCTACATTCAGCGGAGATTCTTCTGAGGACCCCCAGGATTTCCTATACAGCTGCCACGAGGTTCTTCGGAACATGGGCATTGTGGAGTCCAATGGAGTCGATTTTGCGGCTTTTCGTCTATCTGGATCCGCCAAGACTTGGTGGAGAGATTACTGTTTAGCCAGACCAGCAGGGTCGCCGCCTTTGACTTGGGATCAGTTTTCAGAGTTGTTTTTAGAGAAGTTTCTTCCCGTTACTCAGAGGGATGCTTATCGGAGGCAGTTCGAGCGCCTCCAGCAGGGGTCTATGACAGTCACTCAGTATGAGACCAGGTTTATCGATCTAGCTCGCCATGCCATCGTCATACTTCCCACTGAGAGGGAGAGGGTGAGGAGATTTATCGACGGTTTGATCCAGCCCATTCGTCTTCAGATGGCCAGAGAGGCAGGTAGTGATATTACGTTTCAGGAGGCGGCCAATGTGGCCCGGAGGATCGAGATGGTTCTGCCACATGGGGTGGTCATAGGTCAGACAAGAGACCCCGTCACTCAGGTCGATTCAGTGGTGCCTCATCTGGAGGCAGGGATTCTTATGATATGGGTCAGTCTTCCAGGCCCTTTCAGTCAGCCCTCCAGGCTTCACAGGGATTTCCTTCTTCGCGATCGCGCCCTTCCCCATGCGATCGCATAGCACTGAGTCGTCTTCCTTCGCGATCGCGTCTTGAACCACGCGATCGCGTAAGCCAAATCCTTGGACCCCCAGTAGTTCTTCTACGCGATCGCGTAACCCTCCACGCGATCGCGATGACCAGTCAGCGGTACCCTTCGCGATCGCATCCCTATTTCCGCGATCGCGTAGGGCAAATTCGCCCAGTTATTTTAAAGCCTAAAAACAGAACCAGTGACGGGATTTCTTCACTCTTTTCACACGGGCTCGCCTCTTAAACCCTCCATAGACGAAATTCAAGCTCTCCTTCCTCCATAACTCTTTGGGTAAGTAATCTTAACATCTTTCCCTCATTATTTCTTCATCTAATTACTAAATTCCTAGCCCTAAAACATGAAATCAAGGTAGAAATTATGGGTTTTGGGTAGAGTTAGGGTTTTGAGAATTTTGGGTGATTCAACCTCAATTTGGGGTCGAATCTTAAAACAAATTTTGTATTTGCACTCGTGGGGTTATGGGTGATCGGGTTTTGGTCCGAGCCTAGAGTTTGGATCATGTGGGCCCGGTGTCTAATTTTGATATTTTTGGAATAATGCTAGAAAATTTATATCTAGGCTATGAGAAGTTGCCATTGAGTCTTTATTGATATTGTTGAATTAATTATGCCTAGATATCACGGTATTGGAGGTGGAATCACGAGGTAAAGCGATAGTTGATGATTAAGTGGATTTCAAGGCTTTGAGGTAAGTGTTTGGTTTAACCCTAGCTTGAGGGAACATGAGTTGAGTCTTGTTGCTAATTGCTATGTGATCGAGTACGATGTATAGGCATGGTGAGGAGTATCTATACATTGGTGTCTAGCATGACCGTTAGTCCTTATAATGTGATTATCATGATTTGGTTGTGAACTACGTGTTTATTGGAGGATTTCTATATGTTGTGAATAACATGTGAACGGTAATAGGATCATTTGATTCCTGGAGCATTGGCTCGAATTGTGATACGAATATTGAAAGTATACGAAATGACTTGATTCTTTGGAGCGTTGGCTCAAAATAGTAAAGTGAATTAAAACAGGTGATCAATACTGAAATATTAGTGGCACCTGTGACACTAGACTCACAATCCTCAGAGGAGAAAGGGCGGAGAATTAGGAGCAGGCAATTCAATTCTTGATGGAAAATGCCATATGTTAGCAGTTGTCATATGTTTGAGATGCTTTGGGTTGGTTTATGTTGCCATGCACTAAAAAGTTCTGTTTTAATTGATGGATTTTGCTTATAATCCTGCAGCAATAATATTTGATAAGATGACAAAGATGCTATCAACGGGGAATGCGTATTGGGGAGTGGCACAAATAAAAAAACATCAACTTGCATCTATGGCTTCGCTAACACGATGATTGAAAGAGATCATTTACAGTTATGACTTTAGCATGCAAATTGGATGCCGGAGGTCTGAAGAAATATGCTAGAAAATATTTGGTATCTCAAGCGAAGGGTTGAGATCACTGAAACTCCAGAGTGAATATATGCAGAAGGTACCCATAGGAGTTTGTTCCAAGATTCTAGTAACATATGTTGGCTCACTTCTTTGGAGATTCATGATCAATGTTCTGGATCCAATAAGAAAAAGGGTAATCGAAACGTGGATAACGGAAGATTACAAATCAAAGACTGACGCAAAGAGAAGAAGCGGCACCACAAAAAAGACGATTAAAAGCTAAGAGCAAAAAGACAACATGAGACAATCCTTGGGTTACATTTTGAGGTTCAATCTCTAAACTATCAAGTTATAATTTATTCAATTTGTTACTGAGTAATTTATATTTAATTTACTTATTGGTCTTGATGTTGATTTTTTGATTTACTCCTTTAAGTTCAATGATGAAGTTTATGGAGATCAAAACACGTACGCTTTCACAAACTGTTGAGATCAGGCTTCAACTTAAGCAATTGGAGGGTGGCATTGAGTAACCAAAAGGTTCAAACATTCACTGCGAAAAATGTTGACTTTAGTAGCCTAAGGGCGAGATTGAACTGTAGAAAATCGAAATTAGTAATTGAGTGGAATTTACTAGTATTGAGACGGACAAGATGTACCGCATTTATTTTGTTATGGATTGATTTATGGATAATCTGAATTTTAGTATAGTATGAATATTTGAAAGTGTCCATATATTGAATTTATAGATTGTCGTCTGCTGATGCATATGTGGTATTATCCTAGTAATAGTGTTTGATTATGGTATTGTTAATGTATTGCAGAGCAACATAGTTGTACTTTGCTTGTTTACATTGTTATAGTTTTATTTTTGCGAAGCAATTTGCAGATACACAAAATTTTCATTATGTATAGGTTGTATGTGACTGTGTCCGTCGATTAGCTTATCTGTCTTCCTTGTCTTTTTGTAAACCTCATTTTCTTATTTCCAGTTTGTCATGGTTATTTTTCTTGTATAAGTGATGATGGTTACAATAAACTACAACAAAAGCATTTTAAATGTAATGCTTTGTAACTTATTTTTTTGCTTTGAAGATACATAGATCATAATGGCAAATTTTTTTCACCGTAGTTTGCTTTTCTTTTTTTTTTATTATAATATTTAATAATATAATAGGAGTAATGAAATAGATCTTTTAACTATATTCTTTACTTTCTTTATTGTCCATGGTTAGTGTAAGGCCTCTCAATTAGGAAAAAGGAGTAGACATAAATATTGCCGTTTTTTACGGCTATGCTTTAAAGGTAAGTAAGTAGGAGTAACTATGGATCCACTTGGTCAAGAAGATATACAACTAGATCAGCATAAGTAATGTTGGTATGTGACCTCACATAGTTAAATATTCTCCTATTATGATGTACTATACTGTCAGATCAAATGAAGGTCGGAAACAATATTGGGGTGACTGCAATATGCATAAAAACGATCCGCACAAGATTTTGAGCATGCTCCACTGTTATTCATATCTTCTTTTTGATACTGGTTGTTATTGAAGAAGAAACTTTCTATGAATTTGGCTCATTAAAAGAATGAACAGGACACCCGCTAGTTATTATACTGAGCCTATGGATGCAGTCTGATATGATTCTAGATAATGTATTAAGGAAATTCTAGCTTAGCCTGTATATGTCAGACCCGAGATTTCCCACCATCAGAGTCGTGAGTTGGCGCTACTCGTTGGTAGCTAGGCAACCAACTTAATTATCTTTCCATCACTAGAATTCCTTTAACAGTTTATAACATCAATATGAGACAAAAGTCTAAATAAGAACAATAGGCGAAGTCTGTCTTAAAATGATAATTTAAAAACGCAAATAGTCACAAACAACTCCTACCCAAGATTTGGTGTCACAATTATCAGAACACTGAAGAAAAACTAAATCAAAGGTTGAAAGAATACATACTGTCTTCTCTCGAACAAGGAGGCAACAGTCAAAAGAAAACAATGAGAAGAGACGCCGGGCCTGCGGACGCCTGCAAGGCTACCCTCAGTCTCGTGATATGAAGCCTGCTTCCCGACTACTGCATGTGCTACGTGCGTCCTCAAAACCGTGGACCTGTGCAAAAAATGCACAGAAGTGTAGCATCAGCACAACGGACCCCATGTGCTGTCAAGTGTCTAGCCTAACCCGGCGAAGTAGTGACGAGGCTAGACTGGACACCAATAAACAGTTGCAGTTATAAATATACAGGCACGAAATCGAAACACAAGACAATTATACAAATTGGGAGGGGAAAACATGCTATGGGGAGTTACAATAATGATAAGCAATATCGCAGATTAAAACAAACTTAGGTTCACAGTGAACAAGGAATCATACTCAAATGTAAACACATAGCTCAACTAATTGTTTGGGCGTGCAACCCGCTCCATAATTCAATTGTTGCGGCGTGCAACCCCTCCACATATCATTGTTTGCGCTCGTGCAATCCCGACCCATATACTATCATGTATCATTGTTGCGGCGCGCAACCCGAATTCGCTCACATCATATACATTGCGGCGTGCAACCCGATCCTCAATATTATTTAACAGTCTGACTCCCCAACTAATCAGTCACAATCTAAGGGGCAAAAATAGCAAAATATTTGACAAACCATCGCCGGCAAGGGGAAAAGAAATTCCAACAAAGGTCAACTAAGGACTGTCCGACCAGCAAGAGGGAATAATTCAACAACGCTTTCTCTTTCTTACTTTCCTTATCTTATATTG